TGCTTGGATCGATGGGTGGAGAAGGGTTACGTCCCCCACGCCGCGGCCCGACCATGTACAACGCAGGCGCTCCCTCTCTAATCTTCACTCTAAGTCCTGGTAAATCCGTGTTCTTCGCGCATGGATTCACACTATAAATTTCGGATGCGCGATTAGTCAGTTCTCTTAACCCGTTGTTGGAAGCTCGGGGTTGCGCGATCAGGAAGGGTCGGCACACGAGCGAAGTAAGAGGTGAGTAGAGCAGTAGTTGGGCGACCCGACGGGCTGGTGCCGAACGAGCGGGATTGACGTGGGCCATGACGGACTGTGGGCACGGGCGAATCCGACGGGTGCGGGAGGATCAAGCGGGGTGACAACTTCGTGGATTGGTGGGCGACGACGGACTGTCCGCATCGGAGGGAGAGAGAGAAGAAGAGAGTTGAGGTCGATGGACGCGGATTTGCCGTTTCATTGTCTCTTCCCCCTCTTCATCTGTGTACATACATTTTGATTGCGGCTCCGGGCGGTTTTGCCCGTTCTTATTTTTCGTTTCGGCTTTCTGAAATCTGGGCTTGGACTTTTGCTCAGATTTGTCTTCGCGATGTCCGTTTTTGCTTGCATTATGTGTATGATTGTCAAATGTACGGATGAGGGGACTGCTTGTCTATCTTTTTGCTGAGAATCCCTGTCCTTGTGTTTTGTCTATGTCGAACCTTTGCCTGCGCCTGATGTCACTGTAGATGGGATAGGAATCTGGTCCCGATAGTGGGTTTGTTCTCGTTCTGCTTATCTCATGAGGGGGATTGTGTTATGATTGCATCTTGCATAATCGACGATCCGAAATCTGGCCCCGTGAACGCCGCGCGAGAACACGTGTAAACTCGATCCGAGTCGCGCCCTTACACGCATTCCCGTGCATCGATTCGCCCGCCCATGCAGGACTCGCGGCGGAACCACCATCCCGCACAGGCACGCCGAGGCGCAACTAAGTTCGCCCATCCGACACGTGCTCATGCGCGGTGACGATATCCCGACCCGCGCTATCCCACCGATGATGACACCATGACGCGATCTTGGGGCTCAGACTCATCCTATGACCCGGACTATTTCACCCCTATAATAAATGAGCTCATAAGGACACGATACCCCTGTCACACGGAGAATCGGCTATGTCCGCGGGAATTCCGCTGTGCCACCACTAGCGACCCTCGGTGCTCCGATTTCCCTTTCCCCGACCACACCTACTACTTCACCCACCCAGGATTCGTTGAGATCACCACCAGTTTTCATCCTTTCCGCCTCCTCCCATATCATCAACTCAGTGCCTTTCCGTGGCCGGCCATAGCCCCCTATTGGCCCAATACGTTTTGCGTGAACTGCCGACGCAGCGGCGCGCCGAGCACTCCGGAATTCCGAAGGCCCAACCCAAATACGCGGCGGGCTGCGCCACGTCGCAGCCCCCGACGGCCTAACTTCCAGGACCACCTCCACCACGAATGAATTTTCCCGTAACCCAGCGTCCACAGTGTCCCGGTTCCTTGGGACTGTGAGACCCTTGCGTGCGCACCCCTCGCTCGCCTAATTGCATTCATATCCTTAAGACTCCCCCACTTCCCCCATAAATCCTTCGCACACCCCTTTTCGCACTTCCAGGCCCACACTCCACTCCGATCAGGAAGTTGCGCTGGGCGTGAGGTTGGGCGTCACAGCCGTTCATATAAATAAGAAAAAAAAAGAAAAAAAAGAAGGGGCTGCAGGAAGGGTAAAATCGGCGAACAGCTGAAGTATTGCATGTATCCCTGTTCGAATTTGCGTTCTTGCACGATTGCCCCTGTCGGAACGTGACAATTACACGTCCTGGCACAGATCGAGCACTGCCACGCCGACGACGCCAAACTGTGAAATAACTCCAGTCCACCAAAATTCTCATCACCTAGCAAGCGGCCTACCTACCGTGGGGCTCACCTCTGGGCCGTGGTCCCACTCGCATAGCAAAGAGTATCGCATCGAATGCCTGAATCTGGACGAGGTTATGGACATATGCAGGAAATCGAGATTGAACTGCTTTTCTGCATCTCTGCATAAAACACATCCAGATTCAGGAGCTCGATCCTATCCTTTTTGCTAGTGGGACCTCAGCCCTGGTCAGTACGAGTGGGGTTTTCTTCAGCCCACAGGGGTGTGAGTTGGGTTCGCGTGAACTCGTGGTCCGCGCTTGCATGCAGCCAGCCACCAGCCATTGCTACAGGCACAGTATACTGAGTCCACAGTGCATATATGTTCATTGGACTTCATGAATTTCTGCCAGCGATTGCTACCGGCAGATTCCTCCCAGGAAGTTGTTGGGACACAATGGGGCACATGCATGTGTGAGGCTACGTTCGACGTTCGGAAGTACTACCGTCTTCCCCCGAACACAACGCACCCCCATGTTCGCCAGAAGACGGTAGTCTGCGTGTTCGTTAGGCAAAGTACGGAATAGTGTACTCGTTAAGAGGGGCAGGCTGAGCAAGCGGCCTAGCTCAGTTGGTTAGGCACGCAAGTGACATTTTGTAGGACGTCGTGGGTTTAATCCACCTCACCACGTGTGAGACTTTTGGTGCGAACCAACTGAGATAGTTGGCTTGCTCCCCCGTTCGGTATTGGTAGCAGGCTCTTTCAGCCATCACGGGTGTGTGTGTTGTGTGTGTGTGTGGGAGGAGGAGGGGGAGGGGGAAGGGGGGGACGGGTTGTGTGTGTGTGTGTGTGTGTGTGGTAGGAAATAAGGACCAGGTTCTAACCTTTTGTCCTCTGGGTACGCAAACAGTTGACACATTACAACAGGCTTTCCCGCTTCATTGGGGCTGGCTGGTCTTTGCTTGAACCCGCCAAACAGGTCGGGCTCTTGGATCACCGGCCTGCAGTAGGATATAGAGTGCAGGCGAAGAGTCATGGTCCCCAACACTAGGGGTCTGTAATCGTTGGCAGATGGAGTCTGCAGAGAGGTCTTCCCTAAATGGGAGAATCAATTCCGCCACACTTAGGAAATTGTGGCACAATCTGAAGCTGAAGCAGATTCCATCCGCCGAGCTGAGAAGTCTGGCTTGGCTTCAGTCTCATAGAATTGTGCCCCCGCCAGGCTGAGAAGTCTGGCTTGGCTTCAGTGCCCACAGCTAAATGGTTAACACTCAACAGATTACGGCTGGATATTACCTGTCGAAGATGCCAAAAATCGGAGTCAGCCACGCACTTATGGTGGCGCTGCATTGAGTCCAAAAGGATCTGGGTATGGTGGGCTAAGCTATGGCAGAAGAACGTAGAGCTTAAGATCCAGTGGGTGGAGTGTTTTGTGGTGGAGGGTATCTTGCATAATGCGGAGGAAGTCAGTCGGCAAGGGCTGGGTGTACGTGGCCCGACCATGCAGAGCGGCCATCATGCAAGTTATATGGAAAATCAGGAACGAAAGGGTATTCCGTTCCAGGTTCTACTCGGATCTCAGTATCATGAACATGGTTCTGGATGGTATTCGCTCGCTGATTTGGGTGGACTGGAGGAGATCTAGAAAAGCTTTGAACAAAAGAGCTGGGAGAGATGGTTTGTTCAGAACATGGGGACAGCGATGATCAAGACCAAGGCACCAAGGCCGCAGGCATTAGCATCGAGCCATGGCTGATGGGCCCCAGGGCTCCGTGACTTGGCAGAGTTCATAATCGGTCAATTGGACAGTACAACTCAGTCGTTTTTCGGCTCTTTTAGATCTTGGGATATACTTGGGATAGGTTCTTGCTGGCTCCTCAGGTATCATTTAGACTATCTGGTTCGAGGGACTCGTAGCCCAGGAGTTCAAGATAGTACTAGCGCCCATGGGGTGAAGAGGTCGTTTGAGTCTACTCTGTGGATGAGCACCTTAGTGAGTTGTGTTCTTTGAACTATGGGGATTTTGGACCCGGTTTCCAACAGGTGACGCTCCCCACAAATAGATTGGTGGCCATCGAACTGCGCAGGCCCCAACCGAGCAGGCTCTCTTATAGCCTGCCTGGTAGTCGCCTGTCTCCGATGATTGAACTGAAGGAAAAAAAAAAACAGGCAGGTATGGATGGACCAAATACGATGCACGAAAAGGCTGACTAGGAATTATACCACTTATAAAAATAGTATTATGGGGTGACTTCACTAGAGTCACAAAAAGGAGTTTGTTAACCGAAAAAACAAAAACAAAAAAGGAGTTATAATTGCACTACATATGGGGCAAGATACAGTTTGCAATTGCACTTCGGGCACCCTAGTACCTGGTCCGAAAGCTGGGTTGTATACATTGCCCGAACTGCAATTCGAAACTGTATCTTGGCCCATAGTAGTGCAATTATAACTCATTTTGGTAACTCCCGTGTAGTTTCCTATATATCGTCACAAATAGAACTGCCCGGTATATATATCACTTAAGAAAGGAGGACATTTTTGCCAAATAACCCTGAAATTTCACGCATATGCTGAAATAGCCCCAAGAGATGAGGGTGGAAACAAATTGCAAAAGTTTGTGAAATTGTAATAGTAGAAATACCCTTTCGGAATTGATTCGTTGCCGCCTACCCCGGTGAGGGCGTTGCGCAAGTTTGCATTCTGCCCCTGACAGGGCGATAGATCAAACTTGGCAACCCCCTTACAGGGGTATAACGCAAACATTTGAGTCCGAAATGGCCTTTCACAAACTTTTGAAATTTCGGAGGGGTGCTCCGCTCTACCCCCGTCGTTTGTGGGTATTTTTTAGCAGTCAGGTAAACTTTTTAAAAGGTAGTTTGGCAAACTTTCCCGAAATAGTAAACAAGTAGAAAAGAAATACGAAAAATAAAGAATAGCATCCCATGAGTACCTGACAGAATGCCCATTCAAAAAAAAAAAAAAAAAAAAAAAAAAAAAAGCCCATGCAGTCAGTGTACTTGAGGAAAGAATGGCACACAAGTTCAAAAATAAATAAATAAACAAATAAATACACAAAAACGAATGGCAAACATTGTACTTGAGGAAAGAATGGCAAAACCGTGAGAAAAGTGAAAGCGCAATAGAATATTTTCCCATGTTCCAAAACAGTTTCCGTCTGTTTTTTTTTTTCTGTTTTTTTTGAAGTGGTCAAAAAGTATGCCTTTGACATTATGCCTCTGAAGACAAACACCGTCCTCGTTACGAACCCACATCACCACACATCTCTCTCCTTGAGAGACCATTACTCCTCTCTCTCTCTCTCTCTCTCTCTCTCTCTCTCTCTCTCTCTCTCTCTCTCTCTCTCTCTCTCTCACACACACACACACACACATATACGCACTCAAAGATAAGACCCAGTAGCACCACTCGAAACACCAAGAAGGCACACCCTGAGCATCTGTCTCTCTCTCTCTCTCTCTCTCTCTCTCTCTCTCTCTCTCTCTCTCTCTCTCTCTCTCTCTCTCTTCGTCTTCCTCTGCCTCTCTTTTCTCTCCGTCTCTCTATATCTAATATACACAGATACAAAGACAAAGAGGTAACCCGCCCAGCAACACCTCCGGAAGCAGCAAGACCAAAAAACCATCAGCGACGCAATAAGATTGCAAAGATTATCTGCAGGGTTTCGATCTCGTGTCCTCGGAGTAATCAACGCAGCAGCTCAATCTTTTCGTCACTTTCCTTCTGCTTTCAAAGCTTTTTCTTTCAGTAGAAACTCTCTCCGTAGTTTCAAATTTGTAATAACGAGAACACATCGTCGCCAGGTCCAAGGACACATATATACGCTCCTTCCGCACTTGTCAAAAGGTCAAAAACAACCTCTTTTGTCGTACAGGGCGCGCTTATTGCGCACTCAACCCACGGTCTTCACTAGTAAAAGTCGAGAGAATAAAAAAGTCCCTGAGCTCTGTTTTACCCAGACGCACACATAACCCAAATTCGCGGGCAGGCCCTTGATTACTCAGACACATAACCGTTTTCTGAAGACGCAAACAAGCTCTCAACAACTCGTAGGCTGCTTAGTGTAACTCAACCCACGGTCTGTATTTTATCATCGGGAACTGCTTAGTGTCTTCCGATACACACCACCGCTGATATGTCCGCGCTTGTTCAATGAAGATTCACCAGCGCTGATATGTGCGAGCTTGTCCAAGGAAGATTCACCAGCGCTGATATGTGCGAGCTTGTTCACTGAAGAGTAGGTTGGGATCCTTGGACGTCTAGCGACTGGCCACGCTTCTCTCGTTTCTGCTCTATGTATGCTATGTAGTGACCGTGCCCAGTGACAAGACGCTTGAGGAGGAAAGAGAGAGGATAACTTTATTATCTACCCTCCACTTTCTTCTCCGCCGTTGATGCCAATAGAACACACCAGATCCTTCTTCTCCCTACGAGTAATAATAAGAGACTATATGTACCTATATATATATCGTCAAATAGAACTGCCCGGTAAACCGTAGGCAGAGAGGGAGAAGAGGACAACAAACGAGGGGCTGTGACAAACTGTTTCGTCGGAGTTTCACCGACTCATCAGGAGGCTGAACCCTCAACAGTCTGTAGAATCCCCTCACTGATTACACTGTAARTGATAATCYACCTTAACCAAAATCAAAGTAGACTATCACTCACCCACACCAGATGGAAAACTCTACAGACTGTCGGTTCACACCCCATCACAAGCCAGCAAAACACCCACGAAACAAAGAAAGGTCTGTCACAGCCAAAAAATACACTCCAGACACGCCGCTGGCACTATATATATATATATATATATATATCGTCAAACAGAGCTGCCCGGAAAACCGTAGGCAGAGAGGGAGAAGAGGACATATATAATAAATTTGTTACATTAAACATCTATTATAATCTATTATAATCTATTTTATATTTATATGTATATATATATATTTATAAATAATGTATGTGTAGTTATATCCGTCCAATGTATGTGGACTCACGGCAGAAGCTGGCTCGGAAATCGAATCACTCCACGTGAAACCAATCGTAATCTACCAGGTACAATGTACGTGGAGAAATCACCACGTGGCCAGTACGGAATGACCTTCAAGATTAAAAAAAAAAAAAAAAAGGTGGCTAATCAATCACCCCTCTTTTCCGCCTCCAAGGAAGCTCAAGGAGCGCACGAAGAATAGCACAAGGAAAACGTCGATAGCTTTCTCGCTTTTATTGGCCCCTGAAGCACCGAATGATAGAATTGGCCCTCCTTCATGAGACGATCACAGCAAGGAAAACACAGCCTGCAGACCCAAAAAGCGAAAAACTGAAAATTAAAATGAAAACGGACATCCAGTGAGTGCTGCAGCTCCGCCTCCTCCTTACAAGTATGTCATCGCCAACAACTCCTGAAACTTGCAGCGCCGAGAACACCCTCGACTGTCATACCTCCTCCGTTGATCGCATTCAAAAGATTAAACACCCGATCCAACTTCAACTCTCTCTCTCTCTCTCTCTCTCTCTTGGATAGACACAATCAGAGGGTCTCTCGCTCTCTCGATCAGCGCCTACGAAGGAAAAGGCTCTGGGAAGAAGGTCATCCACTTCCGGACTAGCAACGTCACGAAAAGTGAATATGACCAAAAGCCCGTCGGCGAGAACTCAGATCATTACCAAAAAACAAAAAAACAAAAAAACAAAAAAAATCATTACCACACGTATCTGGGAATAAGAATACGGGAGTGAAAACTAATGTACATGCAAACCATGGACAACGCTACTCATGGAAATCGTAATGACATACTTCAAAAAAGACGTCCTCTTGAATCAGTCCACGTGATGGTGGGGACCACCAGATCGAATCTTGACGAAATGCTGAATCTTGACGGCATTTCAAACAGGATGAATCTTGATGGCCTTTCAGCAGCATTCATTCACCAGATCAGAACAAGAAGTCGTCTTGAATCAGTCCACGTGATGGTGAACACCACCAGATCGAAACCTGAAGTCGTCTTCAATCCCACGTGATGGTGAGGACTACCAGATCGAAACCTGAAGTCGTCTTGAATCAGTCCACGTGATGGTAGAACAGTTGCTCTATTTTCATCGTCGTTCTCGAAGACTACCACCGCACAACACGAACGAGATAGGAATATCATAATGGCCCGCGAATAGTATCATAATGGCACGCGATAATATCGTAATGCCCCGCGAGTCTATTACGCTATAGTATAGCCTATAGACATAATCTTAACTACTCTATAGTCTTCACTACTAAGTATTAGGACCGACAGAGAATAGAAACTCTCGTTTATGTGGTCCTTACTATACATAAAAGCGGCTAAGCTGCATTACTCAATATACTAATTATTGTATTATTGCTTTAATGCTGCTAGTATATAGCTCATCTGAGAGAAAAAAGAAAGGCTAAACAAGACCCAACGAGATAACCGAAGAAAATCAACAAATGGGTCTCTAGTTTCCATGCTTCGGAAGAAATGATCAGATTACCCGTCGCAAGTTTCTGGACGTAATCGCGGTCACATACGTACCGGGCAGCCCCCCCTCTCTCCAGCAGTCAGCAATGTGCTAACTTGTGCAGCAAGGCCATCCTACTCCCTCACTCAAACTTGCCAACGCATAGAAACCTCTCTCTCTCTCTCTCTCTCTCTCTCTCTCTCTCTCTCTCTCTCTCTCTCTCTCTCTCTCTCCTCGCTTCTCTAGTTCAAGATTCCGGACGGCTTCTTATATTCCCCTTCTCGATAAGAGGAGGTTGCCGTCAACGGCAATTGCGCAGAGAGATGGACGCAAAGCCAAGCTCAGAAACTAATGATACAATTGCGCAGAAATTTTGAAAACATCGCGCCAACATTATACGCGAAAGGCGTTCAAAAAAAAAAAAAAAAAAAAAAAAAAGACGCGAAAGGCACGCGTCGCAGCGGCTACACATGTATATTACTACGTATTACTTATTACGCACCAAATACTATTTAATCTTGATTTTTCCTCTCCACTCTAACATGAAAACATCACGCCGATTAAAATATCACGCCTAACGTTATCTACTACACTACTCTACTTTTCTTATGGTACACGTCCCCAGCCGTCAACAGGCGTCGCCACAACAAGAACCGCAGGGTTTAGGGGTTTCGACAGTTGAAAATTTGGAAATTATGAAATTGATAATCGAAAGCAATCGGACCGATGGCCTCGTCCTGCCGCCCACCGACAGCGCTCCGACGAATGCATCCGGTCTAACTGGCAGTCCAGGTGCATGCATAATTTCGGTAGTGGTGGAGCTTAGGTCCTCTCTCTCGAGACAGTTGAAAATTTGGAAATTGTGAAATTGATAATCGAAAGCAATCGGACCGATGGCCTCGTCCTGCCGCCCACCGACAGCGCTCCGACGAATGCATCCGGTCTAACTGGAAGTCCAGGTGCATGCGTAAATTTCGGTAGTGGTGGAGCTTAGGTCCTCTCTCTCGATGACAGCACCAGTAATCCGACGTCGTGTCCACTGCGTTGAAAAACTCACTGTTTTCCTTCTCTAAATACTCCCATCCCAAACGCCGTCACGACTCCGATCAAATTCCTTTCCATCTTCTTCATCTGAATCCATTTGCATTCGATCTTGCGTCTATATTTCAACACTTCATCATAGGTGTACCGACTGACCTAAGCCCGTTCTTTCACTCCATTCTCTTCTTCCTGTCGAAACCCTCATCTCTCTCTCTCTCTCTCTCTCTCTCTGTTCGTCGGCTTTCCGCACTCGATATTCACGAAGTAGTTGGCACGTGAAGAACGAGCCACCTGCTCATGAAGTGATTTTTTCCAACTCGAAGAAGATGAAAGCCAGTCAGTTAACCCTCAGCTCCACACCGAGAGTTACAAAAACGCCATCGCCACAGCACGCCTGTGGCGCCACCTTCTTGTCAAGAAGAAGAAGAACAACAACAACAAATCGGTAATGGCGAGGCCAATCACCACGTGTCCACGCTTACGAATATTCAACAGCCTGCATGGACATTAAAGCTCACAAACGCGCACATTCCCCGACGCGTTTCGCCTGGCTGCGCTCCAGGCCTTATCAAGGGGCAAACCACACTCCCGCATCCACGTGTCTGTCCGCCTGAGCGAAGGGACGCACGGGCAAGAGGGCGCCGCTGACCAACCCCAGCCTCGTCAGAGGGTGCAGGCTTTGACGTGGGGGGGGGAAACACGTTAAAGAAAAGAAGATATTATTCGTATGAGTATTAGCAGGGAGTCCTCCGCACCACAACTAGTGAACACCTTCTTGCGGTTTTACCCCTCTCTGCCGCTCCGACGATTGCTTCTTGCTGTAACCTCTAAAATAAAAACCCACAGCAGTCCTTGGCAGTTGGAATGAAACTGGCCGTGGCCGTAAGAAACCACAGCGTACTTACTCCAAAAACCGACGATCACGATGGGTGTGCGTAGTAGAGTAAGTACGCCCGCGATGCTGATGCTGGAAGACAAGCTGAGAAGGGAAAACTCAACGTCGATTTTTAAAATGTTTTTCGAAGAAAACGAGAAGGCAACCTGGGCGGCAAATGCTGCCGCTCGTGTCGCCCAACACTGCACTCTCGTGAGACCAAATGGCCTCTCATACTGGTTTCGTTGGTCCTAATCGTTCCGACGGCCACCAAAGTCCCTACTCTCCCATTCTCCATCAATCAAGAAACAAAAAAACGCCTCAGCCGCTCTCACTCGGGGAGAGAGGACCCCTCTCTCTCTCATTGCAGGAGAGAAAAACGCCTCAGAACTTCAACAAACCGGCCACGCCCTCCAAGCAAGGAGGGGAGAGAGAGAGATAGAGAGTAAGTGCGCTGCACATATAGATAGTCGATCTCCGCTCAGCAGTTCATTCCTTAATCGGGAAAGAATACCGAGCAACTCCAAAGGGGTGGGATCCCCCTCGTCGCCGCCTGTGCTACGCAATATACTCCGCTCTGCTGCCGGAGACAAATACTTTCCAGAAATAGAATATTACACATCACTCGATATAGAAACAAAGCTCATCACGTCACTGATTCAAACCATCAGTGCGCGCCGAATACCTACCTACAGTTATCTCACTCACACCGCACTAGCAACGCAACCAAAAATATAGACAGCCGCTTCACTGCACTAGCCCTTACGGCGGAATAAAGAGAGAGAGAGAGAGAGAAGCACGACTTACCGAAGTCGAAACAACACTCTTCTTCCACAGATGGCCACGACAAGCGTAATCTATCTTCTTCCTTCTTCCAGCCAACTCTTCTTCCTCTTTTTCTCTCCCTCGCGTCTCTGCCGGCACTCTTCCGCTCAACCGCCTCCAAAAACGATTTGCAGTTTGCAGTTCTGTCCCTCAAACGAAAGATACGAGATCATAAATAGCCCGCAAGAGAAACTTAGTCACACTAATGATGACAGCTGCTGTCTGGCTACCTCTTGGCAAAGTCGCCGACATCGCGCCGAGGCAGAGCCAGCGATGCCCAGTTCTCTACCCCTTATACTCACGACACTACAGAATTCACATCATACTAACAAGCCAGTCAGTCAGAAAATTCATTGAAGATTTCAACCTACCAAAATCGTCTCTCCCCTTTCGTTTTCTCTGCACTAGTGTACAACTGCTCCACCGCCCAATCCGACTTCTTCAGCGAATCTTATCACTCATACATAGCGTCGAAAAATCGGAGCAGCAACAATCAGGCAACACGACCATGTCGCGCTTCTTCTCGACTGATATACAATTCTCTCTCTCTCTCTCTCTCTCTCTCTCTCTCTCTCTCTCTCTCTCTCTCTCTCTCTCTCTCTCTCTCTCTCTCTNTCTCTCTCTCTCTCTCTCTCTCTCTCTCTCTCTCTCTCTCTCTCTCTCTCTGTGTGTCTGTTGTCGATATATGCGATCAACTAGTGGAGTTTGTAGCGGTGACAAACCATTGTGTTTTGCGCACTCTCCTGACTGTATTCGTCACAGTTTGCACCGCCGAGCATGCAAAGTTCACCATCCCGGAGGTGTAGGGAGTCCCAGATTTCCAGCCACTGGGAATGACATTGGGTACCGTAATGACCTCGCCGGTGAGCAAGGTGGTGACACGTACCGAGATAGCGCCATTCACCTGTCCCATACCACTCAACAACCAGTTCTGGCCCCAAAGCTGAATCATCGGAACCCATCTGCCGCCAATCTGCACTTCGACTGACTTGACGTCTCCAGCGCCGGCGACGTTCTTCGGCATAATCGTGAACCAGAATGGGTTGCCGTTGATCACGAACTGGATCGGGCCGGTTCTCACACAAGGGACTCTGCGAACGAACAATCGCAAAAGAGAGCAGAGCAAAAATTAGACAAGACGGGAAAAACAAAAAATGTAGTACATAGACGGAACAGAGAGAGAGAAAACAGTAATAAAATATAGCATACATACAAATCTAAAAAAAAAGGAATGCCAAATATTAGACACCACGAAACAAAGTGCAGTATAGAAGTAAAATATACAGAGATGTAAAATAATAATAATAATATAGCATACACAAATATAGTATAAAGATATACAAAACATAGCATATACGAATAAAGTAGAAAGACAAAAAAATAGAATATTCACAATACAAAATATAGTACAGAGAAACATAACATATAGCATAAAGATATAGAAATACATTCAGTGAAAAACAGTATAAAGATGTAGAATACATATAGACAAACAAAACACAGTTGAGCGTCTTCGTTTTTGTCTACACGAAGTTATGATTTCATTGGAGTAAGGAACCAACAGAAAGCTGACGAGATTATCCATTTTCGGCAGAAAAAAAAAACAAAGTATTAGATAATTAGATATACAAAATATAATGTTACAAAAACGTTTACCGTTTTGAAAATTATAGTACATACTGCGTAGACATATACAATGTACCAAAAAAAAAAAAAAAAAAAAAAAAAAAGACATACAANAAAAAAAAAAAAAAAAAAAAAAAAAGACATACAACGTAGTGCAGAGATGTACAGAGCATAGTGCACAGGGCGTCGGTCCACTACTCCTCAAATGTGCCAAATGAAAATGAATCTTCCACTAGAACGTGAAAAAATACACCTCCAGATTGTCTTTTTCTGCATTTGTTGAGTAGTGGAACGAAGCCCATTGAAGTAAAAAACTTAATACAAAGGCAAAAAAAAAAAAAAAAGTATATACTACTGTAGATATATATATACTATATGTAGTATATAGAAAAGGGAAAGCAAAGAAACTCAACATAAAAGCGTTTTATCTAAGGGACGCTGGACCCCATTTCCATCAGGTGTCGCTTCCCACCCATAGATGGACCAACCCGTGAGACAAAGCGTCAATGCCGGGACCATGGTCCCATCAGCAAAGAGGATTGGATTGAACGCCTGAATCTGGCCGCGTTTGTGGACAAGTGCAGAAAATCGACATTGAACTCCTTTTCTGCATCTCTGCCCAAAACACGGCCCAGATTCAGGATCTTAATCCAATCGCCGTTGCTAGTGGGACCATGCTCCGGTGGTTCGCTCACAACCACTGTGATAGAGGCCTTGCAAAAGAACCCCATGGCAGTACAAATGTGCACCAGTCCATACCTTTCTCGGCCTTTTTGCGTAGAGATCAAGTATACTATCTGTTCTGATCAGTTAGAAAAAAAAAAAAAAAAAAAAAAAGTGCACCAGTCCCCTTAGAAAAATTCAGGTGAATTAATGTTCCCAGCATACCTTTCAGGGCCAGAAGGTGATGCACAGAAGCGCACACGCACGCTAGACGTCCCCAGCATGCATCTGGACCACAATTACGCGCAGATTGTGGTCCCACGCGAATCGTGGCGCTTCCCACAATCCCAAAACTCCCATTGCGAGGAGCAGCACATCCAGCAAGTCCGAATAAAACGTATAGCTGCCTGCGCGACGCTACGCAGTGTGGCAGAGACTTCCCCGCATACGGACACACGGCCTAACAAATCGGTGTTCAACACCTGGATGTGCTCGTAGTGGGAGGTTTGGGATTGTCCACAAAAACAAACACTTCGTCCTATGTACATGTACGCAAGGGAGGCGATCAAAACAGTTTTGGGGGGGAATACCAAAAATAGCAGCGTAGAGCAGTACGCTGCAGTTCTCTAATTTCTACTTAGCAATTCGCAGGGGGGGGGGGGAACAAAAAGGAAAAAAAAAAAAAGAAGGCAATACTTTTTCATCAGGAATCCAGAAGAACGCAACGACGGCACTTCTAATACTACTTGCGTCTTCCCCCGAACACAACGCATCCAATTATGAATGTATAGAGGCTAGGTTTCCGGTCCGATGCACTCAAAATGAGGGCGCGTTGTGTTCGGGGAAAGACGGTAGTGGGCGAGCTAAACGCACATAATGCAATGACACAATAAAAAAAGCAAGAATAAATAAATAAATATAAAAAATAGCTATACATATAAAAAAAGGGGTAACTTCACTAGAGTCACAAAACAAATCATTATACTGTACTTGCACTATAGTATGGGGCAAGATACAGGGCCTCGCTGCACTACTCTCGAAATGTGCAAAACGAGAGTGAATCTTCCGCTAGAACACGGAAAGATACACCGCCAATATTGTCTTCTGTGCACGTCGAGAGTAGTGCAGCGAGGACCACAGTTTGCAATTTGCAATTGCAGTTCGGGCACCCTACCTGGCGAGAAAATGACTAAGGAAATGTTTTTGTTTTTGGGTAATTTCAGTAGAGTCACAAAAACGATAGCCTTTCCTTAACGTCTTTTTTTTAAGGTTCAACCAATATACATATATATATATCGTCAAATAGAACTGCCCGGTAAACCGTAGGCAGAGAGGGAGAAGAGGATATATATATATAACAACACGGAGGAAAGGCTTTCGTAAGCGAAGGGAGGCGAACGCGGGAAAACAAGCCAGGGGGACTAGGTCCCACTAGCGAAAAGAATGGGATTGAAAGCCTGAATCTAGACGTGTGCCTGGAATAATGCAGAACATCGAGATTGATCTGCTTTTCTGCATCTCTTCTGAAAACACGTCGAGATTCTGGAACTTGATCCAATCCTCCATCCAATCCTCCATCCAATACTCCATCCAATACTCCATCCAATACTCCATCCAATACTCCATCCAATACTCCATCCAATACTCCATCCAATACTCCATCCAATACTCCATCCAAGACGCCTCGTTGCTAGTGGGACCTCGCCCCAGTAAATATTTCCCCATTTCCGTCACCGTTTGTGGATCCGGTTCATTGCTTTTGAACTGATCGAAAAACTTCAAATATTAAATACTTCTCTTATTTCCTCCGATCCAGTGTTTTTTTTCAATAGATGATCCATAGCTTCATAACTAACTAGTAACTAGATAAATAAATAAATAGATAAATAGACAAATAAATAAATAGATAAATAGATAAATAAATAAATAGATAAATAAATAAATCAATAAATAATAAACAAATAAAGAACTACAAATTATACGCGCAAAAACAACCCAGCAAATCTTACCCCCTTTCCCTCACCATTTGTAAATCCATTTCATTGCTGTTCAAATTTGAACTCGTTGAATAACTTCAAAAAAAAAAAAAAAAAAAAAAAAAAAAGGATTCCTAATACTGTTCTTTCATCCGATCCACTCCGGAGTTTTATAACTAACTACATAGATAAATAAATTAATAAATAAATTAATAAATAAATGAATACATAAATAAATGAATAAATAAATAAATAAATAAGTAAACGAGTAATTTTATTAAGTAACACGCACCTTCTCCATGAAACAGGGATCACACCGGCGATTTTCTGCGCAATCATCTCGAAAGCAGGGTGGCTCATGTCGAAATGCGCCTGGTTATTATCACAATACCCTCCATCAGGGCACTGGTCCGTTGCCGAGATAATTACAGATTTGCCCGTGCACCACTGGCTATCAACACATTTCACCTCGTAGCAGCCACCACAACCCTTTCCGTTCTGGTACAGGGAAATGCTGATGGCAGCAACATATCGACCGTAGGAATTCGCTAAAGGTCCAAAACCGCAATTACCACCTGGTCATTTAGGGAAAACAACAACAATGCAAAACACACACACACACACACACACACACACACACACACACACACACACACACACACACACACACATTCATCAATGCAAAAGACACACAGAGACACACACACACAGAGACAGACACGCACACACAGACACACAGACACAAGGCATAATTTGCAGTGAGTGTCAGTGAACTTGGCGGGCAAATACATCAGCGAACACGAAAAAAATGGGGAATCAAAATGTGAAACAACTCTTTTATATTTTTCAGCCACTCGTTAATTTCAATCGCTACCGTCTTTCAACAGAATAGAACGCCCTTGTTCCTGAATCTAGACTGAAAATCGCACTAAATAGATATTATATGCTAAATAGCTACCACCTTTCAACAGAATAGAACGCGCTGTCATTATCGCTGTATGTAATCTGAAAATTGCACCAAATACAGACATTAATTTCAGTCGCTACCGACTTCCGACAGTATAGAACGTCCAGTCTTTGTCGATCTGTCTAGTCGAAGATCGCACCACATACAATGTAATGGCCGGGCGTTCTATTCGTGTGACCAGGGTTTTTTTTTCTCCACATCAGTCGATTCCACTGAAAACAGACAAAAAAAAACGCTACGATGGCCGCATTCGTTTCTTCTCATTCGGATATTCATCGGAATTTGTTTTTTTCCCTCCATTTGCTCATTTTCATCGACTGATTCACTCATCGAGTTAGTTATAATTTGTTCATTCATTAACAATAAAAAAATCAAATTAAAAATCACATTCATCATTCAAATCCTAAATTACTTCACAGTGATGATCAACACAATTCGCATAAGCAATCCACAATAGCAATTGCCATCAGTAATAAGCATTCTCAATTTACGTTATTTACGTGATTAATCGTAATTTAAGTCATTCTACTCATTCACTAATAAATCAATCAATCAACTATCTTCTTCCCCCGAATACAACGTACGGTCATTATAGCTGTATTTGAGCCATCTTTCAGTCTAGATACAGCTGTAATGACCGTACGTTGTATTCGGGGGAAGAAGGTAGTTAATTGATTTGACTGTAACAACGAATCAATAATTACCGTAACGAAGTGTCAGTTCACACGACCCGGATGGACTGTTTCATGGCATTGTACAGATTCGATGACCAGATTCAATTAACTTAAAGAGGAGTCATGGCAACCGCTTGATTGATTGAACAACAACGTCATTCCAAATTTCGACAATCTGTTCCAATTCATTTTTTTCCTACCAAAAAAATTTGAGAGAGAGAGAGAGAGAGATTGGTCACCATGACTCAACGGAGATCGTTTATCACTGCGCTGGCAACGTTGAGAGGGAGAGAGAGAGAAAGAGAGAAACGAGCATAGACAGTTCAAGGATAGGGGAAAAAAAGCTGAAGAAATCCACAGGAGTGAAGGTGAGGGGGGGCGGGGGGGTAGAGGGGAGGAAGCACGCGTGGAACAAAAAACAAACAAAAGAAAAAGAAAAAAAAGAAGAAGGCACATACGTACGTACCATCAAGCCCAGAGCCATCGGGAGCGCCATAAAAGGTTGCCCGACCAGTACTCCACGTCGTGTAATCCCCCGCTGATGCCGGATAGAGTAGGAGAAGTCCGCACAAGACGGCGAACATCGACCTCAGTGAGCAGAGAGCCGCCATTACGTATCGCGTTTCCAATTCAAGAAAAGAGCGAGTAGTATTTCTTGGAAAAAAAAGGGGGGGGGGGAGAGAATGACCCGACCCAGCCCCTCGCCTCTCTAAATCATCAAGTCACAAACTTCTTCGATCGCACCGCCGAGAGGCTAATCTGAAAGGACGAACAACACAACTCCACTCGTTTCCTTTCTGCGTCCGTCTGCGTCCGTTGGCTTCCGTTTGCTCCCGTTTGTTCTCTGTTACCTTCCAGGTCCTTCCGTTTAGCTGCTCGCCTCTAAACCGAAGAAGAAAGAATTTATTTTCCCTTTGCACTATCCTTTCTCACAATGAGCGAATGAAATTAAAAAATATATATATATATATATATATATATATGTCCAGTGCAAAACAAAACAGCCCAAGCTTCAGATACGTCAGTGAGTCAGTGCAAGAGAAGAGGGCCGCCAAGAACGAGAGCAGCTTGAGTTCGAACCCAGCTTTTTTAAACACGCCAGTGCAATAAGGTTTTACTCAGTCTGAAAAACTGTTTGTTCACTACTACTGGGGCAGAGGAGACGAGAGGAGAGGAGAGGAGGGAAAAGAAGAGAGAAACGAGAGAGAGAGAGCAGGGAGAGTTATCGTGCTCCTGCGTTCGTGTTAAGCGAAACCCCGAACGAGAGTTCCAACTGTGGTTTACATAACACAACGCCAATGTGTCCGTCCTGCAAAGCTACAGAATAAAACCGGTTACTGATGGCCGCACTCAGACTAAGTTCCGTGAAGCGCATTCGCAGGCCGAAGTACCGAAGTATCAGATTGGCTACCAGCTTGGAGACGATGGGCTCCCACAGCTTTGGCAACAAACGCACGTGATCTCTCACCTTCACTCTCTCCCTTTCTCACTTTCTCACTCTCTATCTCTCTCTCTCTCCTTCTCTTTCTCTCTCTTCTTCCCTTCCTCACCCTTCTCCTGTCTCGCCCTCCGCTCTACAATCTGCCTTTTTGATCCAGCAAATGTGTGTATATATATGTCTCCCGCGGCCGAAATGGTCCAAGCACACACAACGAGAGAACTGTTACTACTACCACATGCTGGGCGAGGTAAAAGAAAAAGTTGGTTGTGAGTCCTCACTAGGAAGTGCTGTTTCCAGTATTTGTATTGATTGAAGATACATCGCTCACGCAGCAACAGGCGGGGGAGAGTCCATGGGCAAGTGAGACACCTGTGCAAGTCACCACTACAAAGGGCCTCGCTCCACCACTCTCCAAATATGCAAAAAAATGCGAATGAATCTTCCGCTAGAACATGGAACTATACACCACCATTGGTGTTGCTAACGAAGGGCCTCGCCGCACCTCTCTCCAAAAGGGAGCACCTGGCCATGTTCTGGCGGGAAGTTCATTCTCATTTTCTTAGCAACAGTTCGACAGTGGTGCGGCGAGGCCCAAGGACCGCCCGTCGCACACACACTCATGCAATTTTCTCGTTGATAACACTACACGGCGACCCCAAATACGCAAAATATGCGAATTTGGGAAGGGCTGATTTGAGGGCATACTCAAATCCGCAATGAGGATTTGGGAAGGGCCGATTTGAGGTTTTGGGCATGGTTCAGGTCACACTGCTGTACCTTTTCAGATGGGACAAGGTCGCGGCCGTCTGGAGAAATGGGGATTTGGTTTTTGGCTGGTCACACGGGGTCGTCCACAAACTGCGCAAGAACTTTTGTGAACGAATTTTTGCCAATTTTTGAAAAAAATGCAAAAAAACTGGGCATGGTTCAAACTGGGCAAGAACTTTTGTGAACTAATTTTTGCCAGTTTTTGAAGAAAATGCAAAAAAAGTGGGCATGGTTCAGGTCACACTGCTGCACCTTTTCAGATGGGACAAGGTCGCGGCCGTCTCGAGAAATGGGGATTTGGTATTTTGGTATTTGGCTGGTCACAGGGGGCCATCCACAAACTGCGCAAGAACTTTTGTGAATGAATTTTTGCCAATGTTTGAAGAAAATGCACAAAAAGAAAAGGGCATTTGCAGTCACCTCCAGAGGTGACGGCAAAATCCCTTGCCCGGCGGCTTCCCAGGCCTCTGACAAATGGGCACAGGAATAGTACATTTGCGAATTTGGTAGATCCGTGTGACTGGCCTTTTCCCCTTTTGGGGGGGATTTTGGGATTATAGGTCCCCCAATCCGCAATTTGGGAAGGGCGGATTTGAGGTTTTGGGCATGGTTCACGTCACACGGCTGTGCCTTTTGAGGGCACGCTCACACTAGGTACCGAATCCCCATTTCCCCCCCCAAAAAAAGGTTCCCGGACAGTCACACATGGTGAACATCTGCCCAAATTCTCAGAAGGGGTGACCATTTGTCAGCGGCCTGCGAAGCCGCGGGGGGAGGAAATTTGCGGTGACCTCTGGAGGTTACCGCAAATTCTCAATCTTTTTCCGAATTACCGTGAAAAATTGGAGAAAAAATGGAACCCCACTATACTAGCGGCCTATCAATTGAAGAAAAGGAGATTTGGGGAAATGGGAGCACGGGCGGAGCGGTCAGACGTGCGGAGCACCAGCAGAGAGGTTCGTATGGACGCCCGTTGGTGCGGACAGCCAGAAGTAACGACCCAAAAAAAAAAAGGAAAAAACAGATTATAAAAAATGAATAATTGCATTTCCCATTTGAGGTATCCACCGTGTGACCCGCGCCCTCCACAAACACCTCGCAGAGTGCGATGTAGCGACCTTGTCGTTAGCGTGTTGGGAACACAGTGTGACCGGCCAGGGCCACATTTCCTCAAAACGGCCGTTCCCATTTTTCCATTTTTTGGGAATTTGGGTACCTACTGTGAGCGTGCCCTGAGATGGGACAAGGTCGCGGCCATCTGGAGAAATGGGGATTTGGGACTTGGCTGGTCACACGGCGCCATCCACTAATTAGGAAAGAACTTTTGTGAACGAATTTTTGCCAATTTTCGAAGAAAAATGCAACAAATGAAAAAGGGCATTTGCGGTCACCTCCAGAGGTGACCGAAAATCCCTTGCCCCGCGGCTTCCCAGGCTGCTGACAAATAGGCACTGGAATAGTACATTTGCGAATTGGGTAGATCCGTGTGACCGGCCTTTTACCCTTTTGGGGGGGGTTTTGGGATTACAGGTCCCCGTGTGAGTATGCCCTCAGACGGGACAAGGTCGCGGCCGTCTAGAGAAATGGGGATTTGGTACTTGGCTGGTCACACGGCGCCATCCACAAATTGTGCAAGAACTTTTGTGAACGGATTTTTTCCACTTTTTGAAGAAAATGCAAAAAAAAAAAAGGGCATTTGCGGTCAGCTGATCGCAACATCCCTTGCCCCGTGGCTTCCCAGGCCGCTGACAAATGGGCACTGAAATAGTACATTTGGGAATTTGGTAGATCCTTGTGACCGACATTTTCCCTTTTTTTGGGGGGGGGTGGGATTATAGGTCCCCCAAAATCCCAAAAAAAAAGGGAAAATCCACAAATGTACTGGGGCTCGTTCGACACTCCTTGGGGCGTCCTCGGAGCCGAAGGAAAATTTCCTTCTAGTCAAAAGGAAATTTGGGCCCTTCGTCCCACCTGTCATCGGGGACGTCGCCCGAGGATGTTTCCTTGGAGCGATGTCAGAAAAGAAAAAAGGGGACAAAAAAAAAACAAATGTGCTTAAGGCCTTCAGCAAATAGGGTGCCGCCACGATCCAAATTCTTGGTTGTAACGTCTCTCTACGCGTGTGCTCACTCCTCTTCGTGAAACGCGGATTCCTTTTGCCCAAGGGACCTCACGAGGTTCCTTTGGCAAAAGGGAGAAATGGTTGGGGAATCTTCGGAGCCCGAGGAATTTCCTTCGGAGTGTTTTCACTTCTTTTTTTCCGACTGCAACCCCGAGGATAAGTGGAACGAACAATTCCTCTAGGACTTTACTCGCCCGAGGAGTGTCGAACGAGCCCCACTATTCCTGTGCCCATAAACTGTGTGCCACAAACACCTATGGGACATGTGTGGGACATCGTCCGACCACTGATGCAGGAGAATCAGATGACAGTGACATTGCGATGGATTTATATTATGAAGTGATGTTTTTTTCTTGTTTTCGTGCTTTTTCTTTTCAGTTCCCAAGAATGGGGGGCGGGAAAGGAAAATAGAAAGACTCATTTTGATTGGCAGCTCTTCAAAAGATTAAAAAAATCAAGTACTCGAAGGTACCGGTACTAAGTTTTAGTGATCTTTCGATTTCCATCTTTGTATTGATGGATCTTTTGATCGCGCTGCTATTCAGTTCAGAAGGCTTAGGGTGGACTGGATCTGCTATGTAGTCGGATGGTTGGTTTTGGCTGGTAGGTCAAGAGGATTTTGCTGGGACGACGCAGGTCGGTGCTGGAGTTGAGGCTCTGTAACCTGGGTAGGAGCTTGAGGCCTGGGGAGTTATGTTTGTTTGTGTGACATAACCAGTGGGTTCGACGAAGTCATTGCCGAGGGTGTTCCCCTGTAACTGTGGGGCTTTATGACTTTTGAGGAATAGTCGAGGGTGGAAGACACTCCTTTCCATGAGAACAAGGTGGATCGGTTCTGGGGTAGCGGTGGCACCCTGTCACCCTAGCACGAGGGGGTTTGAGATCCGCCGCGTTTTTGTACGAGGACTGACGGCCTCCACCTTCCCTTCTTTTGCTTAGCAGGTCCTAGTCTACCCTTGCCCTCGTATCCCTTTTCTTTTGCTTTTGAATATTTTCTGAATACGGTCATAGGCAGTTGCTAAAATTCTTAGAATTTCTTAGAACTTTCAAGAAAAAAAAACGTTGCAATCTGTTCTTAAAAAAAGGGGGTGGGCCGTACGCGGATGGCTGTTTTGTTCTAAAAATGTCTTCTGGATTCTGAGGATTCCTGACAAACTCTTTTTTAGGTAGTTTCGAGACTGTTATATTCGGTGACCTGCGGCTGTTCGATGCCAGAACGACGCTGGCCGGTGCTGGGGTGTTGCCCTATAACCTGCTGATGCAGGAGCATGAGGCCTGGTAGAGAGATCTGGGGGTGCTTTAGGGTGGGCACTCCACGGGACATCCAAGGGTTACTGCTGCGACGACGCTGGCCGGAGTTGGGGTGAGTTGTGTTGCCCTGTAATCCAGCAGGATGAGGGGGTGTGAGGCCTGGAAGAGTTCGGCAGGGAGTAAGACAGTGTCGGAGAAATGGGGAAGGTTCTGTCAGGGG